CCTTCCCCCTTTTTGGCGCCCCTGTCGTTTGTGCTTACGCCATTAACTTAAAGTGCCATTGGCCCCAAGATCGGGGGGACGGAGGGCCAACAGCATCTGGCCATCTGCGTAGTCTGGGAGCACTTAACTTAAGCGCTCTAATTGTATTAAAAGCGTGTCCTTTTCCGCCTACGGCTGGCTCCATATCTCTCTATATCCCCCGCCTCTACAGATCCTTGCTCGCTTTTTCCCGGGCGGACCTGGCCGGCCACATAGTTGACTATGTTGACGTTGACGCAATGTCTCATCTCATCTCATCTCATCTCGTCTGGTCTCGTCTCGTCTCGTCTCGGCCTCGTTTCCCTTTTGGCCTGGCCAGCATCTCGCTTTTCCCGGCTAATTCGGCTAAGTGATTTCCATGAGTGCGTGCCAGGACTGCGAGCCGGCTTTATCTGACTTATGGTTTAATTAGGGTCAGGCGAAAGGCGAAAGGGGTTTTGTGCCCGACATTGCAATTAGTTCCGATTAACCCGAACATGTCGAAAACTTATTTGTGACGCTGCAGGCGTTTGCAGTCTTGCACTGGAAGAAAGAGTATGAAAAAGGCGCTAAGGAATTTGAAAACTCTTAGAAAAACAGTCTAAGAGTATGCAATGGAAAATAATCCTTCGATTGGGTACCTTTTTAATTAAATTTGCCCTTTTTCAATCTCTCTCAGTTTTTAATCTTAAAATAACCAATAATTTCTTTTAAATAATTACTTTTTTTAGTGTTCTTTTTCTCTTTACCAATTTAGTGGCTTCACGACCAATTTCGTGTTCTTTTTTTGCCGTATAGCATCCGTTTGTGGCTTTGTTACACGCCTTCCTCACCTTTTTGGCCCACTTTGCAGCCGTCTGCCGACTGCCCACTCCCACGGCCACTTCCTCTTACCACTCCACCACTTGGCCTCGTTTCAGTTGCTTATTTTTGGCTTGGAAGCGCGCATAACTTGCAATTTCTGGCCCCCAGCACACCACATTCCCCGGCTTTCGCCTGGCTGGAGTCCGGGTAAATGTTAATTAAGCATCATTTACGCATTCAGGCCGCCATAATTTGCAGCGACAATGACACTGACAGCGCCACAATGTTGCGACAACTTTGACAAGCCCGCCAGCCAGGACACAGAGGCACCGAGCACACAGAAACACAGAAACACTGGAGCAAGGAGCTGCGAGGAGCACAAGACCCTTTCCCATTTACCCATTTACTCTGTCACTCGGCACGCAGTCAAATTTAATGTAACATAAAAGGTTTTCCATTTCATTTTCCAACCTTCTTAATGGATATCTGGGACGTAATGGTTCCATCAGGACAACCGCAAATATTCCCGGCATTGCAAATTGGCATTTGACTGGGGGTCTCAAAAAAAAAAAACAAAAAGATATGGGTTAATAAGCAGCTTTTATCTAAGGTAATAAGTTAAGTAATATATCGCATGTACCACATGGCGTATGATTAATTTTGAACTGTGCTGGAAAGATCACTGTTCGGTATATTACTCATACGCAGTGTTGAACATTTTAATATTGAAATATATGAAAGCTTCTGTATTGAAATTATTTTATTAAATATTCTATTTCGGAATAATGAAAATGTATCACATGGCGTGATCAATTTGATCAATTATTCAAAGATCATTACTAGTACGCAGTGTTGAACATATTGTTATTTAGCTGTATATGCATTTATTGTTCTCATGAAGTGTTGTATTTATTTTATTAAATGCACCTTTGTACCTGTGGACTAGAATGGTTTAACAAGTGGATTGTTAGCCTTATCCCGGCAGGCAATCAGCGGACGTTTCTGTTTTTGTGTCCTGGCCTTGGACACGATGTCTTCTTTTGTGCGACTCCTGCTGCTGCCATCTGCTCGTGGCCCAATGTCCCAATGTCCAATGTCCAATGCCCGCTTATCTGTCCCAGACAATGGACAATGTGGCCGTGGATTAGCTCAGCCAAACGGTTATTTAGCGGCATCCAGAGCGAGGATCCCTGGAAGAGGGACAGGGACTGCCCCGAATTGTGGCCACAAAGCGGCCGGTGGAAGTGCGCCCAACAGCTGGCCAACAATATCCAGCAATATCCAACAATGGCAGCGACCAACGACCAACGACCAATGACCAACACAAAAAGCAACAAATCGCCAACTGTAGAAACAAAATAATAATAAAGACAAGCAGCAACGTGGAATGGAGGAGCACGAAACCAAAATAGCAAATAAAATTGCACAACAAAGATGAAAATGAAACGAATGCAGAGGGTGGCGAAGAGGGAAGAAGGAGGGAGAAGTAGGAAGAAGGTGGAGCCAGGGAGTCGTGCGAAAGAATTACGTTAAAAGCAAAGACTTACGATGCTACGAGGTTTTGGGATTGAACTCACAAGTACCCTATAAATGTAAAATATATTAGTCAGTAACTTGATGTTTTATAATATTTACCATTATTATTTTTTAAGTACCATGAACAATTATTGCATTTTTAATAATATGTACCTTTGCTGTTTTTAATAAAAAAATATATTTTAGAATGATATAATATTTATTTATATATATTTATAAATTGTATTATGTTTCCTCTTTCCATAATTCCCAGGTATATAACTTTTGCCAACTTTACAGGGTATCACTGATAAAGTAAAAGGCCAAGTTAGGGTCGCAAGTCGCGCACACATTTCTCACACCAAATGCAAATAAAACGACGCCTCGGAATTGAAATAGAAATAGAAAATTGCCAAACAAAAATGGCAGCATAAACTTTTGCTGTTTGCCACTTCCGTACGTCATTCGTTCTCCTTTCGCTTCCTTTCTCCGTTGCTCGTAACTCTCTCTCTCACACACACACACACACACACGCAGGAAAGAGAAAGGAGAAAGCGAATAAGACACAGTGGCACACATACGCACAAAAGTCTGCTGCTTGTCGACATTTTGGTAATAAATTGAGTTTTATGGCAGTCATATTATTCTTTATTAGTGGGTAAGAATTGTTGCCTTTTGTTGGCTTTTGTTGCCGAAACGATGTCTCAACCAGGCCAGCATCCTGTGTATCCTGAGTTCCGAGTCCTGAATCCTGGGCATCCTTTTACCCTCACCTCACTTGGTTTGGATATCACTCGTTCGATTCCGAAGTGGCTGCTGTGTGGCTTAATTAATTTGCCAGTGTTGCTGGAACTTTGTCAAAGGACCGAGAGGAGGAAGCCTGGGAAAAACCCGAGGAGTGGAATTCCCAGAAGCCCTCGACCAAATCAATCAACGACAACGCCTTGTCCCCCGTATTTACTCTTTCATTTGCCTAGAACGTGGCTAGTAAATCAAAAACTCTCATCCAAAAATCGTAATTTGGCGTTAAATTAGTCTCGGGGCTGGAACGTCGCGGGAATACTAATAAGGTCAAGGCGACTGCCGAAATGGGATAATCCGTCAATGGCGCGGCGCCTTTTCGCAGCTGTCAACGCCAGCCGAATTGGTTACTTGAAATGGAAAGCCTACACACAAATGGCATTGCCATTTTTTGACTCAAAAAATACTTGAAGCAAAGCTAAATTCCTCGGTGCTTTGTACTACTTACATGGCATTTATAATAAAAACAAAATAACCTAAGTTCAAATCTTACAAAAGAGTGTCTAAAAGTATGCAATGGAAAATTAACAATGACTATAAGAACGAACTTATAGATTTAAAATATTTTGTTGCATACTTTATACCTTATCAATATTATTTAATGCAATTTTTTAATTTTATAAATAAAACATTATTATTAATTATATTTTATATTTTCTTCCTGTGCGGCCCTAGACGTACACCGCCAAGGCCGTTCAATTAGCAATCATGGAGAGTCCGCCATCTCCTCGTACCTGATGATCCATGAAACGTTTCTCGAGCGCCAAGAACTTTTGGCTTATTTCCGGGAACGAGGACACTCAAGTCCTTGAGGATGAGAGCAGCCACAGAACTGTGCATAATGCTCCGCCAGAGTAATTTATCATCCTCATCCTGCAGCCCGCGAGGCTGTCGGCCAAAACCAGCGGGCGGTACTCCTCCGGCCAGAAGGGAGTGGGCCAAGCCTTTTAGGCCAACGCCGAGTGGCCGCCAATGATTAATTGCCAGAATGTCCATTTGAGCAGAAAATTCACAAAACATTTCCATCATCAAAGCGAAACCGAAGCCGAAGCTGAAACTGATTTTTCAGTGGAAAAGTGAATCCTGTCAACGGCCAAATGGAAGCCGACAGCTCTTCATGTCCAATGTCCAACGCATAATGACCTCCGGCAGTTTGAGCTCAAGTTATTTCCCTAATTGCAAATATTGTTTATTTGCTTACACATTTCTGCGCTGCTGATTGCACATTTCAAATTTCCCATTTCGATTCCTTTAATTGCAGTCCAATTAAATGCTTAAATCCCATATATTTGGTTTTACCCATCAGATCAGTTTGCTTCGGACCCAACAACAAGAGGCAATCAATGGGAGGCAAATTCCGACTGTAAACAAACTTTAAAGGTATTTCTAGGCTCTCTCTCTGAAGATTAGGCACTTAGCAATTCATTATGGCGTAAAATGACAAAATTATGAATTAATCAAGCAGCAAAATGCAAACTGGGCTCTTTCTTGTTTGATGGTTTCTTTTCATATTATTTATGTTGTTTGTCTGGTCAATGATATTCTTTCTTAGGAAATATTTAAGCCTTTTTTATTTTTTCTATCACTACAATAAGGAAAATCAAGGGGCATTTTATAAATGCTTTATTTATTTTATTGATTAAATTTCTTTATGATACGTTGTCTTGTAATTTTGTACTATTCATTTTTTTTATCTGGTAAATATATGAAATACATGCATAATAGTAGGCAGTAAAAATATATTGTTGCATGCTTTTACACACCCATTTTGACATTATAAAGTGAATTGTGATTTGGGAACCCCCTATATTATTATTATAATACATTTTCAGAGTCACCACAGCCACAACTGTCATCTCTACCTCAACGACCCTATTTTGCTGGCCCCGAAAACGAAACCCCATTGAATTTAGTCCAAATTTCCGGCACTTTAACCATGAACTTGGAGCAAAACCTGACCGCTGCCCTGATGCAGTCGCAGTCGCTGGGCAAGGAGGCGGCGGCGGAGGAGGAGGCGTGGCCGGCGGAGGCCCATCTGCACCAGCCGCCCGAAGAGAGTCAGTTGCTCTTGCCGGAGCGTTCCAGCTGCCTGGCGGTGAAGACCTATCTGCGGATGTGCGGCCTGCCCTTTTCGGAGCGGATCAGCGAGAATGCGGAGTTCATGTCGCCCGGCGGTCGCCTCACCCACCTGCCACTGCTCCGTTTGGGCCCCGTAAGGACCTTTGCCGAGTTCGAGCCCATTGTCGCCCAGGTGGAGGCCATGCAGGCGGGCAGCTCGCTGGGCAGCTGGATGACGCAGGATCAGCGCGACGATGTCCGCTGCCTGGTGGGCCATGTGGAGAATGTCTTCACGCTGGCCGAGATCCACATGAGCTTCGTGGACGCCGTCAACTATCAACGGTACACGGCACCGCGCACTGGACAGCCGCATCCCTGGCCCTTGAGTGTGATGCGCCGGATTACGAGGCAGCGGGAGGCCCAGCGGCTGCTGAAGGTCTACCAGTGGCAGGAGATGGACCACGACCAGGTGCTCCACGAGGTGGGTCTGTGTGCCGACGCGCTGGTCGCCCAACTGGAGGAGAGCCAGGAGGCAAAGGAGGAGGGCGCCGGCTTCCTCTGCGGCTCGCGACCCTGCGCCCTGGACGCCCTGGTCTTTGGCCATGTGGCTGCCATACTGACCACCCAGATGCCCAATATGGAGCTGGCCGCGATCCTCGGCACCTATCCCCGCCTCCTCGCCCATTGTCGGCGCATCGATGGCCGCTTGTTCGAGGGCAAGCTCCTCAGCGTCGAGGAGCAGCTGGAGTATCCCGAGTAGTCGGGGGTAACCAGGAGTAGGGTAAATAAAATTAAGGGAAGACAGGACGGGACTACTCCTACTCCCTCTGCCCCGCGGCAGGAACAAAGGATTCTTATTGTTTTTTTATTTGGCCAGGGGTCGACGGGAAGCCAATCAAAAATATGCAAAGCATTTACAATAAAAACGGCAGACGAGCCAAAGGAGTGGGGTGGGCTTTCCGAGGGGAGTGGAGCGGAGCAAGTGGAGCCGGAGATAAGCCAGCGCACAATGCCATAAAATACAGCAACAGACAAGGCGAACGCTGAGAGAAAAACTTGAAAAAGTGGCTACTAAATGTTAAAAAAATAAAAATAATTAATTTCTAATAACGCCATGAAAAGGTTTTTTAATAGATTATTTTAAAATGTATTTTTTCAATTTCATTTTGTACATTATCTTGCCCTTGGAATCCGACTTACTTTTGTTTCAACATTTTTTTTATAAATTATAAATGCTTTATAAGCTTTAGAAATTTGAATAAATACTATAGTTTAATGATTATATTTAGCAAATAATAATTAAATAATTATATATGTTACAAAATTAAACAACTATGATTTTCCCTTAAATCATTTTGTTCCTTACTCAATTTCCCAGTGCAGAAGGCAGTATTTTCGGCGCGGGCTGGCATTCAATTTAAGTTCGCCCCCGACTTCAAGGTAGGCAGTAGGCATCCGGACAAACATAAAATGTCAGTTCGATTTTATGACTGGCCCAAAGTCACCAATCTGGATGCGTAGTCCCCGGGAGAAGGGTCTGCGGGGATCGGGGATTCCGGGACTCCGAGTCCCAGCTAACCCGTGTGACATGGCCGCATCGTTCGGACAATCAGGGAGCCATCATCGAGGTCCGCTGTCATCCCAGCTTCCCACGTATTTTCCCATTTCCCCATTCCCTCCACCACTTTTCCACTCCCCCCTTTTTGTGCTTTGCAATCAGAAACTCATCATGGCCTATTGATGATTTTTTCCGTTGTGCTTCTCCTTTTTTTTTGTTGTGTTTTGCCTTTTCTACGACTCCCAGAGGATAATGTTTGCCGTTGGCCTTGATGGCGCCGTCTGTCGCTGGTCTCTGGTCCGCCTGGTAATTTATTGGAATTTGCCAAAAGGATTAAGTACGCCAATAAGCGTTGCTCAACGTCAATGAGCGAGTGAGCTGCTTCCTCTCGTTTTTCCAACTCGTTTTCCTCCTGCCAACGGAATGAGCAACATCAGACGGCATCATCATCATCATCGTTGCCGCCGGCCATTTTCAGCCCTTTCGTCTGTTTCCGCTTCCGCCCCCACTTCCGGTTTACTGTTTGTGTGTGTGTGTGTGGGTTGCATTGCCAAAAAAAGAGAAACCAAAACTGATAAACGTTGCGCGTGTCGAATGCCAGCCTGATTTGTTTGGCTTAATATTTCAATTTTGGCAACCATCTATGAAAGCGGAGGCGTTTACAAATCAGGGGCACTCAAGACTTAATTACACTTTTATTGGTCAACTGAAGTTTTAAAGACTCATCTAGTCTTTAAGCAGTAAAGCATTTTTAATAATATTGATTAATACTATTTAAAATTTAATAAAAATAAGGTAGTGAAGGCCACGTCTTCGATAAGTACTAAATTCAAAATTGGTTCGATGCAAAAAAACATCTTAAGCCTTTCTAACACTGGAGACGCCGGGGATTGAACCCGGGACCTCTCACATGCGAAGCGAGCGCTCTACCATTGAGCTACGTCCCCTTGGAAATATTTGAAATATTTGGCAATTTTAGATTTATATTAGAAAATTCCAAGAAATAACATTAAGAAAATGGCCGATAAAAAAATAAATATAAACCAAAATGCAAATTTTAAAAGCTTTTCAACACCGGAGACTCAATACCTTTAAACAAAGTCCTCACGCCGGGTTTGGTTTTAATTGTACTTTGTCACAAAAACACAGTAAAAGAAAAAACCGGCTCGCGACGAGCAAAAAAGAGAGAGAACAAATAAAAAATTCATAAAAGAAACTTTCAACACTGGAGACGCCGGGAATTGAACCCGAGACCTCTCACATGCGAAGCGAGCGCTCTACCGCTGAGCTACGTCCCCTTGACAATATTTGATAAGTTTAGTTCAAAATTCTAGGTAGTATTATATAAAAAACCAGGTATGATTGCCTCGAGCATCATCGCCTTGACAATTTTAAAATTGTATTGCACCATCTTTCGTAAAGTATAGGTATTACTTACCATTCAGGTTACTTTTAACGAGTATAAAAAGAGGCCTAGTAAAAATAGTAATTTTCCAGAACAAAATAAAGAGGCATTCTAACATCGGAGCCGAAAGATCTAAGAAAAAATGTTTTTGATTGGATTTGAAAAAAGATCAAGCTTATGGAGACGCCGGGTCTTGAACCCGGGACCTCTCACATGCGAAGCGAGCGCTCTACCGCTGAGCTACGTCCCCACCTGACTTCCTGTTTTGTAATCCCCCTTTGGAAATAATTTTTGTAAGTCTTTAAAAAGGACTTCTTCAGATTTAGAATATAATCTTTAATCTTGGAAATAATACGATTCGAAGTTGAAAGTTTTAACCTTATTAGTTGAAAACTTGATTTTGGGGACTGTATCATCAGAAATTTACTCCTTCTGGCCTTACATAATTTTACTAAATAATACTCTATCAAGTTCCTGAGACCTTAATCATAAGTTCCCGGTGATTTCAGCCTAATCACCGGACATCACTCACTCGATGTTTATCACGATGCTGGACGGAATTTGGCCAGTCAATTTGTAGTCGAGTAACTCAATGAAATCTGGCAGACAATCGTTTTTGGGGCCAAAGTGACCACGGTGCTCGGGGCCCCAAGTCATCCGACCTGAACTTCTTCGTCACGTTGTGCTTTATCACTTTATTCGGAGCTGAGTCGCCTGATTATCCATCATCCGGCCAAGGAGTCCCCATCATCATCATCGTCGTCCTCTTTGCTGGAGGAACTACAACGACAGAGACAACGACAACGACCTTCAACTTGCATCTTCCGCTCGCCCGAGTAACCCTAATGGAAAGTATATAAAACACAATTTGTTTTCATTTTGCGCTCTTACCGCTGAGCGACTATCCCGACTTTCGCCGAGTTTTCCGACTTTTTCCACTTTTCCGACTGCCTGCCGCTGGCCCCGAGTTTTCAGCGCCTTATCCTGCAGATCCCTGTTCCCTATTCCCTGTTTCCATCCCGCATTCAGCATTCTGTCAGCTTAACCGCTGCCACTTGCCATTGTTGGCTGTTTATTTTGGTAGCCGAACGTTCGGCGAAAAACTTTTCCACATGCCACGCCCAGACGCCCAAAACGCCCCCATCGCCCACGGCCATGACCACGCCCACGCCCCCGTCGGACTGCCGTAGGGCCACTAAACAACAGAGATAGACTAAACGGGACAAAAAACACAGTAGGTATACTAAACATTAAGATATATACACACAGATATGCACGGCAAGAAAATAACAAAGAAAAATCCCTAGGGATCTTAAAATCATTCAAATAGTTGCCTTATCCATAAGGCGACTTCCAATGAACATTTAAGCATTTATATAAGAACTGGTTACCTTGTTAAACTAATTAAATATTTAATAAAATGAAATGAAATGACAAAATATTAGTAAAATGTTTAGTAAATTAAATAAATAATTCTTAGAACCCTGAATCTTATTTATTGGCTATATTATATTCAACTTATTATTTTCCCTTCGATTTTCTCGCCGTGTCCCGCATTTAGACATGGAAAAGTTCTACGCCGGAGCTCGGTCAGTGGTGGCTTGGGGTTTGGGGGCCCAAACTTTCTATAGCCTACAAATTTTCTTTTGGCTCCAAATTGGCTGAGGGAAGAAACTTTTACTTGCGGCTACTTTCGCCGCTGCTCGGCCACCGATGTCGCCTTCGCCTAGTCCATGGTCCATGGTCTCCTAGCCCTTATCTCCGCGTTCCTTTGCCCCGCAATCTCTGCTCATCCCGGGCCTCAGAAAAAGGACCCGAGCAGTGATTAGGCAATAATTCTGTGGCACGCAAACGGCGCACATATTAACCCGCCCCGGGAAATGGGAAATATGGCGTGTCATTGAACAACTCAATATCCGAACTCCACTCACTCAAGGCCCACGACTTTCTCGGTTGTTAGGCAAATCACGTAAATTTCTTTAAACGAATTACTTTCAAATTACCGAAAATGCTGGGATCGTCTGGCGTTTCGCCTAAGCAGGTGCTTGTGTGCTCCTTGCTTTCTTTTCTTACGAGGCGACAACAAAGGCGGCGATTTTCTTTTTTAAATAAATATTATTGCCTGAAATTTATACGAAAAGTTTGTTTTCGAAGGGTGTGATTTCCCGATTTCCCAATTTTCATATTCTGCCACCGCAGAGTTAAACCCACACCTTTGCTTTTGGGTTAAATAAAATTAAAAGAAAAAAAAGGAATAGAACTGGGTCGCAATTTATGCGAGAAGCTACAACAAAAGTGGTCGCAGTTTATAAAGTAGCAACAAATAATTGACCACCCACACATGCTGGGGGGGCGGGAAAACTGCTGCCGCTTTCAGTGGGTTAAAAACAAAAAAAGAAAAATGGAAAAGCGAGCAGAGAAAACTCAGCGGAAAAACTCGCTCAAGTGGCAATCATCATGATGTTGCCGCCGCTGCTGCTGATGATCATCATTGCTGCTGGCTGCACTTGGCAATTGTTGCCACCAAAAAAGGGGGGTAACAGGGGCAGTCCAACCCCACAATATCCCCCTTTCATCATTCTGCGGACCGCCCTGTTGAGTGCTTAAAAATACATTGCACGTTCAAATTGAAGTGGAAATGCAACGAAATGCATACAAAAACATCCTGACCCCGAATGTCCTGCCGAAAAGCACTTTCTCTTGGAAATCTCTTTAAATTATGAAATTTGTTGTAAAAAATAATCTTAGTTTTCTAAATATTTACTTAATGTTTTAAATGTTTGATATAAAAATTTAAAAAAATATATTTTCACTGAATTCTAGAAATTTTGGCATTGATTTGAAGTAAATTTTGAATTTATATATTTTTTACTTTTTTTATATTTTTC